ACACACACACACACACACACACACACACACACACACACACACACACAATGGTTGTAAGCATTGCCCTTGCCAGGCATTGCAAAACATGGGTGATGGGAAAAAGAGCCATTCGGTCGTGTATGATAACACTTACAAATATGTAAAAAAGGATGGTTGTAAGAGTTCCATGTGTCTCCCAAACCCTCTGGTGTCCTTTTTATCTGCCCCCCACCAGCCTGCCCACCCCCAATCCCGGTGCACAGGTAACGACTGCCTTGGCAAAAAGGAGGCTTTCCATTCTCCCTCCTGGCCCGGGCACAACAGCAGCTGGATCCTGACCTGAACATTTGGCCTACATGCTCCTAGATCTCAGCCCCTGGCTCTTGGTTCCTTGGTCCTGACTAACCCCTATCATCAGCATTCATCGAAGCAAACCAGTCTGTGATTGGAGGAGCAAGACCTCATTATTTACTTCCACTCTGTTTCTGAAGGTGGTTTTTCTCTGTTTAGCTGCTGTATGAGTGAATTTTCCAGGGTGATTTGTGGATTTCAGGGGTGGATTCGCCCCAGAGTGCCCTTGCATATTGAGCAGTGCAGTATAACAACTGATTATGACAAATCCAATTCATACTTTAGGTGCTGAGATGAACTTGAAGGGACAAATTCAAGTAGAGTATGTGACCTCTCTACCTTCCAAACAACAATCTTTAACACCCATTGTGCATATCAGATGAATAAAGAAGGAATCTTCAAGTAACACAATGAAGGAGTTAATTTGCAAACGGCAAATGAGAAATTCCAAACTAATCAACAAGTTGAGGTAAAAACATAATCTGCTTCAGCACAGATCTACAGGTGCATTGAAAAAAGATCCACTGACTCAAATTGAAAACACAACTAAGAAGATTCAAGCAATGTCTTAACATAGAAACAGAAAATACGTGCAGCAGTAGGCCATTCGGCCCTTTGAGCCTGCACCACCATTCAACATGATCATGGCTGATCATGCAATCTCAGTATCATATTGCTGTCCTCTCCCTACACCCCTGGATCCCTTTAACCGCAAGGGCCACGTCCAGCTCCATCTTGAATATATCTAATGAATTGGTCCCAACAGCTTCCTGTGGGAGAGAATTCCACAGGTTCACAACTCTGAGTGAAGAAATTCTTCCTCATCTCAGTTCTGAATGACTTACTCCTTATTCCTAGGCTGTGAACTCTAGTTCTAGACTTCCCCAACATCGGGAACATTCTTCCCACATCTAACCTGTCCAGTCCCATCAGGATTTTATATGTTTCTAAGAGATCCCCCCACCTCATTCTTCTAAATTCCAGTGAGTAGAAGCCCAGTCGATCCAGTCTTTCCTCATATGTCAGTCCTGCCATCCTGGCAATCAGTCTGGTGAACCTTCACTAGACTCCCTCAAAAGCAAGAATGTCCTTCCTCAAACCAGGAGACCAAAACTGCACACAATACTCAAGGGGTGGCCTCACCAAGGCCTGTATAACTGCAGCAAGATGTCCTTACTCCGATACTCAAATCCTCTCGCTATGAAGGCCAGCATGCCCCATTAGCTTTCCTCACTGCCTGCTGCACCTGCATGCCAACCTTCAGTGACTGTTCCACCATGACACCCAGGTCTCGTTGCAGCTCACCTTTTTCTAAACTGCCACCACTCAGATAACAATATGCCTTCCTGTTTTTGTGACCAAAGTGGATAACCTCAGATTTATCCACATTATATTGCATTTACCTAGTATTTGCTCACTCAGCCAATCTGTCCAAGTCACCCTGCAGCCTTTTTACATACTCCTCACAGCACATTCTATCACCCAGCTTAGTGTCATCTGCAAATTTGGAGATATTGCATTCAATTCCTTCGTCCAAATCATTAATGTATATTGTGAACAGTCGAGGTCCCAGCACTGAACCCTGCAGTATCCCAGTTGTGGTCACTGCCTGCCATTCCGAAAAGGACCCGTTTATTCCAACTCTCTGCTTCCTGTCTGCCAACCAGTTCTAATTGCTTGTGTGGAACCTTGTCAAAGATTCAAGATGCTGCAAAGGAAAATAAATGTCTGCTCTAGCAGGGACAACGTCCTCCATGAAAAAGATGCAAGAGATTAAAAGGTCCTCCGGTCCTGAACAGAACCTCGGACTATCAGTAAGACAGTCAAAGAAAACTACCTTTTTACACATCAGGCTGTCCTTCTTCAAAGTCTGAAGAGAATACATTTAGGAAGAATAGTAAAACCTCCAGACAATTCTGAGGAAGAGTCACCGGACCCGAAATGTTAACTCTGTTTTTTCCTTCACAGATGCTGCCAGACCTGCTGAGTTTCTCCAGCAACTTTGTTTTTGTTGTTAAAACCTCCAGACTGTTTGAATTTGTAAGTCAAAGACTTGGAAAGGGGGGGAATGGGGTGGGGTAAATGCAATTATATAAACAATATGTAAAACAGTAATAGTTATGAGGAAAAGCTTGGGGAAAAAGTTCTATACAGATTTGGAAGGGTCTGAAGCAGTTAACACTTGATTGAGTGCAATCAGCACTGATAATGTTATAAGATTTGGGGGAAAAGTAGAATTTTGTGGGACACAGACCCAAGGCTAAGACCTATCAACCATCTTTGCAGTAATGGGGAGTCTACCCTTAAAACCTGTAAATAGGTGAAGACATGCAATCAACTACATCTTGTTTACTCTACAAGATTCTTTGTTTTAGACCAGAAGCTGGCTACCCTCGCGTACACTAAAACATGTAAGCCCCTAAAGAAACCATACACTTAGAAGATAGGTGCAGCAGCACACACAACGTTCCCAAAAATGATGACAGCACAGACTAATCTGAACAAAAGAGTCATCACATGAAGGGCAGTGAGCTTGATGTTTGGGATAGCTCTCACAGGGCAGATTATCCTAAATCATATTCTTAAACCAAGGCAAGCTGTGAGAGAGGCTGTGGGGAACTAAAAGTTTTTTTTAAAAAAACACTTAAAAGGGAACATATGTAAAGTACAGTTGTAGTAATCAATCTATTTGTTTATCGTAATATTGCACAAATTCTTTAACAGACCAAACGTAAATGGAATAGAATGTAATAAGTTACACTGTAACTCACCATCTGTATTGTCCAGTACAGTAGAATGTTTCACAAAGGCAATATCACCTGCTTGTTCAGCTAGGCACCTACATTGAAAGAGGGGTACACTTAAATAGCTAGCTACAAGTAAACTGTATCTTGACAGTAAAACATTGAAACTGTGACAAATGACACAGTTGCATAAAAACAAAACTTGATGGAAAAGCTGAGAAGGTCTGGCAGCACCTGTAAGGAAAAAATCAGAGTTAACGTTTCGAGTCCAGTGACCCTTCCTCAGAACTGGGTCAACAGACCCGAAACATTAACTCTGATTTTTTCTTCACAGATGCTGCCAGACCTGCTGAACTCTTCCAGCAACTTCTGTTTTTGTTCCTGATTTACAGCATCTGCAGTTCTTTCTGTCTTGACACAATTGCATGTTGTTGTTATTCCTCCAGCTACCATATCCCTTCATCCCCAAACCTAATTCCAAAACAGCAGCTATAAACACAGCCAAACTGCACATGAATGTTACAACTAGCATTCAAAACAGTGTTTCGCAAAATGGTTCTTTTTCTAGCAAGGGTTAATATCAGTGAGCTTGTCGGCTGTATGCTTACATTAAAAAACTGGATGCCATCAGTGCCATTTGCTGTCAAATGCACAACTGTGATCTAGGGAGTAAACAAAGGGAGTTCTGCATTTACATGATATTTATTCCAAAAGGAGGAGCAGAGAGAAAACTGCACTTTAATAGCTCATGCTCAATATTACACTACTTTCTGAAAAATAGTGCAATGAAGCAGAAAGCTTCACTTGGCATCTTTCTGCTGAATTCCTCATGTCAGTCTCATTACTATAAGAAGGAAAAAGTAGGACACAGAATCACTATCAGGTTACCTCGAAGCTCCTTGCAGAGGGGGACTGGCAAGGATTGACACCAGATCACCCATATGTTATTTAACCATGGCTCGTTTGTGCCAAGGGAAAAATAAATTGATAAAAATAAGAATTTTTAGCAAATTTGTATCTAGGCTGAGTTTCTCAATTAAGCATATAAGACTGATAAATCGATCCAAAACATTAGAAAAGGGATAAACATTTTTTGAGGTTCAAGTACAGTATGATGTATTAAGTCATATGAATGGCCAGACGATGCCAATTATGATATTCAATCTTAAACAGGTCTGCAGTATGACATTTGATAAAATTAGTATGTATAGAACAGAAAATATAGCAGGTGCTAAAGTTCCTTTAAGATAAGCATGATCTAAGAGCAAATTATTGCAGATGCTAGAATCTTACTTCTGTGGTGGGCAAATTATTGGAGAGGATTCTGAGAGATAGTATTTATGATTATTTGGAAAAGCACAGTTTGATTAGAAATAGTCAGCATGGCTTTGTGAGGGGCAGGTCATGCCTCACAAGCCTTACTGAATTCTTTTGAGGGTGTGACAAAACACACTGATGAAGGTAGAGCAGTGGATATGGTGTATATGGATTTTAGCAAGGCATTTGATAAGGTTCCCCAAGGTAGAATCGTTCAGAAAGTAAGAAGGCATGGGATTAAGGGAAATTTGGCTGTCTGGATACAAAATTGGCTGTCCAACAGAAGACAGAGGGTGGTAGTAGTTGGAAAGTATTCAGCCTGGAGCTCGGTGACCAGTGGTGTGCTGCAGGGATCTGTTCTTGAACCTCTGCTCTTTGTGATCTTTTTAAATGACTTGGATGAGGAAGTGGAGGGGTGGGTTAGTAAGTTTGCTGGTGACACAAAGGTTGGTGAAGTTGTGGATAGTGTGGAGGGCTGTTGTAGGTTGCAATGGGATATCGACAGGATGCAGAGCTGGGCATAGAAGTGGCAGATGGAATTCAACCCGGAAAAGTATGAAGTGATTCATTTTGGAAGGTCAAATTTGAATGCAGAATGTAGGGTTAATAGTAGCATTCTTGGCAGTGTGGAGGGACAGAGGGATGTTGGGGTACACTTCCATGGATCCCTCAAAGTTGCCACCCAAGTTGATAGGGTTGTTAAGAAGGCGTATGGTGTGTTGGCTTTTATTGGCAGGGGAATTGAGTTTAAGAGCCGTGAGGTTATGCTGCAGCTCTATGAAACCCTGGTCAGACCACACTTGGAATATTGTGTTCAGTTCTGGTCGCCTCATTATAGGAAGGATGAGGAAGCTTTAGAGAGGGTGCAGAGGAGATTTACCAGGATGCCTGGACTAGTGGGCAGGTGTTATGAGGAAAGGTTGAGGGAGCTAGGGCTTTTCTCATTGGAGCGAAGAAGGATGACAGGGGGCTTGATGACAAGCATAGATAGAGTGGATAGCCAGAGACTTTTTCCCAGGGCAGAAATGACTATTATGAGGGGGCATAATTTTAAGGTAATTGGAGGAAGGCATAGGGGAGATGTCAGAGGTAGGTTCTTTACACAGAGAGTGGTGGGTGCGTGGAATGCACTGCCAGCAGTGGAGTGGAATCAGATACATTAGGGTCATTTAAGTGACTCTTGTATAGGCACATGGATGATAGTAAAATGTAGGGTATGCAGAGTAGTTTGATCTTAGAGTAGGATAATAGGTCAGCACAACATCGTGGGCCGAAGGGCCTGTACTGTGCTGTTCCATGTTCAATGTTCTGTACTGAAAACAAAAAATGCTGGACATCACAACGGGGCAGGCAGCATCCTGGACAGAAGGCAAGCTAACGCTTCAAGTCTAGATGACACTTCATCACAGCTGACGAAGTGTGGAGTCAGCATTTATGCAACAGTGTGGGCTGGGCAATGGAGTGCTGGGGAGAGAGGAAGTTGATAGTTCAGATTAAGTGATTGGAATGTGAGAATGGCAGAACAATGGTGGTCTAACTGCCAGACTGAAAAGGACAGACTGTCCCACTGGGGTGGGGGGAGGAGAGACAGGACATGGTGAGAAAGGAAACATGATTTTGAAAGCGAGTTTTGACAAACACCTTGTCAAGCACCAGCAGTGAAATAAAAAACATGATGGAGTCTTGAGCTAAAAAGGTCAATTTAGCTTGCTGCTTTGGTAAAGAAGTTGAAATGCATGCTTGGAATGCCTACGGGCACACACAAAGGCTGATGAAAACTTAAAGTGCCTGCTGCTCTTAGCAGAGATACTCCACACTGCTTTGGTCATGAGCACTTGTCTAAACATGCTCTCCTAATACAACCAGTTAAGTGGGAGCTAAGAAGATGTTAATGCGTGTTTCAATGGTTCTTGTGATGCAATGGTAGCACCCGTACTCTGAGCCAGGAGGCCTTGAGTAAAATTCCACCTGCACCAGAGGTGTGTAATGAGATCTCTGAACAGGTTGATTAGAAAATCTCTTTAGTTCAAAAGCTTCTTAAAGGGGTACTTGCCGTTTCATGTTCACTTGTAGCTGCTACTGTGAAAAGGGCCACTGAAACACATCAGGTGTTTCTGGGCCACCTTGAAGAGTTTCTCAGCATTCTAATAGACATTTAACTCATTTGTTTATTGAATTTTCTTAGGACTTCCTAAAAATATTGTGTGCTGTGCTATCCACTTTATCAGATCCACCTGAGTTAAGTGTGTGGTTGGTCTCTGGCATCTTGCTAGGGATTCCCCTTGGTCTGCAGGAGGGAGGCCAAGCATAGCAGCATCATCTGCTACAGCAGAGACAACCACAGCACCGAGGAGGCTAAGGTGGTGTACTTTGCCTCTGCTGTTACAGGAAGCCCTTCCTCCTCTTGCAGACCTCCAGGACATATCCAAGAACCTGCTGGTACTGTCTTTCAGTCCCTGGGCCATCCTGCAGTCTGCCAGTGTGTGTTAGCCAGCATGCTCTGCACCTTTAGTGAAAGTAGATGTGAAGATCCCAATTACACTGCTTCATAAAAATTATGTCTAATCATCACTTAAGTGCCAGTCTGCAGAATACTGGTTTAGTGCCTGGAAACAAATACAAATTATAGTAATAACCAAATAGGAACATTTCTAAAACCAATCTCAAAGGCCAAGACATATTAACACAAATAATGCTCATTATTAGCATTAATTAATGTAGGACCTGCTGCCAACCTTTCACCAAAATACCTCAGCTGATCTGGCCGTTTCTAGGCTATGTCATATCCCACAAATTAAAACGTATTCTAATTCCACATATAAGACAATGGTTTTTGAAAGAATAAGAATTTTTTGATGGAAATTCCACATTGCTCCAATAACTGACCTAGAGTAAATAAGCCATTTATCAAGACTTTACCAGGATTTGAGTATTCTCTTGCTGTCATCATTCTACAGTAATTTTGTGGTGTACTAAATCTCATGATAAATGCATTTGTCTCTTAGCTAAACACTTTTACCAGTACTAAAGGTAATCATTCTGTACTATTGAAAATTCATAATATTACAAGCGTCCCCATCAGCTGACTATACTCAGAGTATGGTTTGAACCTGGTGACTCACCTGATGTAAGAATTAGCATTTCACCTCATAGGCCAGAAAAAATGGGATAATTTTTATCATGCTTATATTATATACTGTTAAGTGCTTGAAAGACTTGTCAAACTATTTGTTACGTAATAAAAAGGTTACAACAAATAATCAGATGTTAAAGTGCAATACCTGAATGCTCCACTGTCACTAAAATACCTCTCATTAGCATTGTCAGCGCATTTATTTTGATTTTTCTCGTCACCAATACACAACTGGCAGAGGCTTGGTGGAAAGTGTATATGTTGTGCTCCAGGGATGCAGCTTTTAGAGAAAAACTCACTGACAGCTAAAAAGAAGAAAAATATGAATAATTAATAAGTAGTGTAAAGGCAACTCCTTTTGGGTAGTCCTGCTTGAAACACAAGCTCCTGGCATTAATTAAAATTCAATTAGAAAAAAAAATTATGTTGCATAAACATTGGCATATATTTCTTATTACTGAATAAGATTATGATTCAAAGACTGAAAAGAAAATTGCAGGTAATCTTAAATTTTATCACCAGGTAGGAGATGAACGATTGTAAATTAGCTATCCACTTTACACCTTGCCCTGACAGGATTTTTTTCCTTCCATGGTCCCTAATGTGCAGAGGGTAAAATTTCTGTATGCATTGGGTGCATATGTCTATCAGATGAAAATGTACACAAAGTGGGCATATCAGATTCAATAAATGAAAAGTGATCCATCATTCCAGGTTTCCATCTATTTAGTGTCCCATTAATTTTAGTTGCATCTTGTTTTAGCCAGAAGTGCTCATCAATTAGTCATTTATTATGTTAATCTTAGATCCCAATTACAGCAGATATTCACACAATTACGCCGTATTTACACTCAAACAGTTTTTTGACCATCTGTTGTTTATACAAACTGTGTGCCCTGAAAAATCAGAGATAGTAGGAACTGCAGATGCTGGAGAATCCGAGACAACAAGGTGCAGAGCTGGATGAACACAGCAGGCCAAGCAGCATCATAAGAGCAGGAAGGCTGGCGTTTCGGGCTTTGACCCTTCATCAGAAAAGGGTCTAGGCCCGAAACGTCAGCCTTCCTG